CAACTTGCAAAAGTTAGGTCACCATGTCAAAATGTATTCGTTTCAAAAAACGTCGAAAGTTTTTCTCGAAGCCGTGTCGAAAGGATACACTGCTTGGAAGCCAAACTATAGAAAAGTGTGACTAGTTTCTAAATGATCAACAACTCACCAATGTAAGCAATATTCTCAGTGACCATGTACTTTGCATGATTGACTCTTGTGAACGGTATCTTCTTCTGCTGCTCATTTGCTGGAACTGTGAATATCTTGACTTGAATTTGTCCGTGTTCAGTTCCGTTATAGCGAGGTAATCCGTCAGTAATTGTCTGTAGACTTTTCAAGAACGGCAGCATCTCTTTTCTCGAATGATCCCAATGCGAAATCAGCATACGAACATGGACTCCACGATAAGCGGCATCCCGAAGTGCGTCATCGATTTCTGGCCAGAAACGGCTTCCGTTTTTCATATAAAGTGTAGCTGGGATGTAGTCCATCACAGAGATGCATACAGATTTGCGAGCAGATTTTATTATTTTTTGAATTGCCGTCAAATCATGTTCCCTTCCTTTTGGATTGAATGGTCCTGGTGAGCTCTGAAAACTGATTGATGCATTTAAACAATTTAATCCTAAATACCGAAATAAAGTATTCAGCAGGTTCTCCATCCAATTTCATATGTGCCATGGTTGTGAAGTTGAAAGGAGTACGGTAGGAAATAGGCCATTTGTCCGGAATCACTGATCCGTTTTCTCCAAGTTTCCAGTAGGCAGCAAAGATCTTATAAAGATCGGAGGCAACACAAGGACATTCTTCAATAACCACTCCTAATTCTTTCACTTCACTCAACGACTTCCAATCCATATTTGCAGACCCAACGTAGAGAGTGGCAATGTCCGAAAGTATAAATTTCGTGTGAATTATCCCAGATCCAATTAGACGAGTCACATTTATCTCTCTAACTTCTGCCAACCCTTCTCGCGCCAGATACGCAGATTCTTCGTTTTCAGATAAATTCGATGCGCCATCTTGAGCGATTCTGATTTTGACACCACGCTTGCCAGCTCGAATCAGTGCCTCATACACTCGCCTTCCATACTTCGCTGTTTCGTAGTCTGATGAGTTCAGATTCCAGTACATCACAGAAATATCCAAATATCTGGAAATAGATTTGTAGTAGTTGTTTTTTTTTCAAAGAATCAAAATCCTACTGTTTAGTATTATCAATTATATTAATCCAAGCATCAGCCGTATGATTGTTCGTGGGAAAAGGAACTCCAGTTGGGATGGATTCAATTAGATATGACTTGCAGTCTACAGTACACCCAGTGGTTAGTTTTATAGGAGACGCTAGATCTTCTTCGTTGAAAAGTGGAAGGAAAACCAAGGCAATGATGAGGAGAGAGACGATGGAGATTGGGACACATGCTGGTTTTATGATCCGATTTCGAGACGAGCTGAAAAGTGTTTTTTTTTTTGTGTTGGGACATTTTGGCAGCAAAAAAAAATGTAAAAATTCAAACAGTGATTACTTCAAGCTGAAGCTTATGGTGAAATATTCAAAAAGCGTGGTGGCTAATTTCAGCAAAAATAAGTGATTTGGCATAAACCATACCCATCGTCTACATCCAGTTGATCACATGAATAGTCAGATCTATTCGACAAGGAATCCATGAAAACGAAATTATTTCATGAATTACTGATTAGTTTTTTTTGTCTTTTTTCGTCTCTGGGAAGAAAGTGTGTAGGCAAAAAACAACATACCCACACTTACAACACCTCTTTTTCGATGATTTTTCGTCGTCATAATACGGACTGTGCATTCCTCCGCCGCCCTTATCAACAGGAATCTCTATTCGCGTATCGAACAAATCCATCTCGAAATTGGTCATATCGGCCCGCCCATCGTGTGTCTGGAGTTATTATTATTATTATTGTGTCAGCCTGCTGCAGCAGGTGAAAAATAATTAGATTTATTTGGGAAACTAATAGATATCCCTCACCTCTCCTATCGGTATCATGATAACAGGAAGCTAGTAATTTCCCGTGGGATGGAATATTGAGGTATTTAAAATCGGTAACTAGAGGTGAACAAATACAAATGGAGTCCCCTTAGAGAAGAAAGGATCGAATTGCGTAGCTTTGGCGTCGTCGTCCAGCGCACGGCTTATCTCTTCGCCTTCTTTCTCACTTCTCTCACCCCGTCGAGCATGCACCACGCGCAGGAAAGAGTGAGAGCCCCACGATGTATGTAATCGTCGGTTTTTAGAGCTCTCCGGAGCGGGAGAGTCAAGGGTGTGTGTGTGTTTGTAAGCTGTCGTGTATGTGTGCGCCATGTCAGATGGATAAGGTTTGAGAATTAATTGATTTTCGCATATCTAGATTTCAGATGGAAAAAAAAGCAATTTAAAGGCAGAACGAGAAGTAAATTTTCCCAATTTCTAGAAGAATCTAGAAGATTACTGTACCAACAAAGTCCAACTCACTTGAGTAATTGGTTTACCATTCAGCAGAATAGTAGTCATTGGAATTTCAGCAGCAGTAGCTAATGATTCCACCGAATTGTGAAACAGCGAATAACGAAAAAGAACGGATAGAGGCGTATTATTCTCTTTTCGATTTAATAGAATACTCTCTAATCTGGCCACCGATGAACTGCGTCGTCGGCTCTGCTGTGGCCATTGTCGGAAATTGATCAATCTCTGCGGCATCACAAAGCAGCCAAAAAACAACACTAGTGTGGGAGAAGTGTGAGCAGAGAGCACCACCTTTCGTTGTGAGCCCTATGGATAATTATTCTGTTTTTGGGAGGGCGCGAGGCGCACACCGCACTGAGCAGAAGAGTCTCACTCTCGGCACTTGCCCCGCTGAAATCACGAGACGGCGCCGCCTGGTTTGATGAAGAGAACCGAGAAGAAGACGTGCTACTACAAACTAACCGTCATTCCCTGTCTGGACTCAGGTAAGTTCGGCTGTTTACGATGATAGACTCACCTCCATTTTTAATATAGCTCCTCCTTCAACAGACGTTTCTTTCGGCTTCAAATAACTTGTGCCACTCACCATTGAGAAACCACCTGAACTAATTAAAAATTTCACTTTTACATATTTTTTCAGGTTGTTTCTTAGAAAAGTAACACGGAAATCTACAATTCTAGAGTTCTAATTGAAAATGCTTTCTTGTCAATTTTTTATTTTTGAGATGACAGCGTTGTTACATGTTAAAGAATACCTTTTAGGTGGCAATGAAGAAATTTTGTGGGGGTACCAAATATCAGTAGTGATCTTCACTATCAGAGATAATCATAGGGTTGCGACTCAAGTACTCATAAATATTTGCTCAAAAACGAGTCATTCAATGATTAGACACTGAATGGAGCAGATTCAAAAGGACTTTCTGGGAGCAACAATCACCAATATAACTTGTTAATTGATATGCAGGCTATAATTTGAAAAAATGAGCACTTGAAAGCAACTGTGAGGGGGTGGGTGATTTAATACACAGGACCACATCTAACTGAGGTGAATGGGTCTTAAATAAACGGATGGTTTAGAACGATAAACAGGTATGTTCCGGAAATAATTAGATAGGCGGATAAAATATTGGTACAGAAGAGAAAAGAGGGGGGAGGGCATTTAGGTGATATAAAATGCGAGCTTTAATATCACAAAACGAAAAATTGGAACAGAACAGCAAAAATGCGATATCGAGACTTCTAAATAGCGTCTATGATGTTTAACGAATTGTTGGCATCGTAAAAAACTGGGAATGAGATAGATAAGAAAAACCAGTAAACAAAATATCAACCTAATCAGTTTTAGGCTTCTACTGCTTCGGTCGCTTCCATTTTTTCATCTTCACCTTCACCGTTATCGTCGTCGTCTTCTTCGTCTCCTTCATCTTCGGCAGCTGCTTCTCCACGTCTTGGAGGAACTGGACCTCCTCTGGCCTTTTTCTTAGGAACAGCCTCTTCTTCGTCGCTATTGTCGTCGTATTCGACCTCGTCGTCATTCGAATCGTCAGACATATCCTGCAAATATAAACTCTTTATTTCAAACCTTTTTCAATCAAATAACCTTAGCCTTTCGCTTGGTCGCAGCAGCTCTAACTGGTCTAGTAGACGCAGGGCGTCCTCTTCCTCTAGTAGCTACTCCCTTCTTTTTCTTGCCGAAGTCGACGTCGTCGTCATCAGATGGAGCACCGTCAGAATCAGAAACGTATTTAGTGATTTTTCCTCGAGGGCCTCTTTTTCCTTTGAAAAGTTTGCCTGGAATTTCGTCGTCAACTTCAGCCAAAACAGTGCTGGTGTCCGAGTTTGCGTAATCAATTCTGTTTGAGGTTGAACGGCGTGGCCTGCTGGCTGCAATAGATTCTGGATTGACGGCGGGCTTTTCTTTTGGAGTTCTCTTCTTCTCGGCTGGAGTCTTCGCATTTGGTCCTGGTGGTCTTCCACGTCCACGTCCTCTACCACGTCCGGAAGGAGTGACCGGTGTAACAGCGGCTTGTTCCTCAACAGCTTCTTCAGCTTCGGCATCTTTTTTTACCTCAGCGTCCGTTATTTGCTTCTCAGTCTCCTTCTTAGAAACTTCTCCTTCTGTTTCTTTTTTCTCAACAGCAGCTGATGAAATCTCTTTTTCTTCCTGTGTCTCTGCTGGAGCATTAGAAACTTCTTCCGATGCTTTCGAAGCAGCTGCTGCCTCCTTATCATTTGTTCCAGTTTGAGCCTCGGTCTTTTCTTCTCCAACAGCATCTTCCTTGACATCAGAAGTTTCTGGTGCCTCGTCCTTCTTTTCCTCGGTGACTTTGGCCTCCTGCAATAAATTTGATGTTTCGATGCCTGCTTATTATAATTAGCAGCTTAGGGGGATTAAAATGGGTACGGCATATGCGAGGGAGGTGGTTACTAATTGGAGGCTATGCTATGCGGTACCAATTCGAGCATGATTCAAAATTTTCGAATACTTACCTCCATCTTAGTTTCTATGGCAACCACTGCAGGTTCAGCAACTGTTTCGTCCTTCTTCTCGTCTTCTTCAGCTACAGCCTCCACTTTCCTTTCTTCGGCAATAGAGTCTCCCGCGGCAGTGTCACCGGCAGCGGTCTGAAATTTTAACGATTATGGTTCCATATTGTTTTAGAAAACCCACACTGACTTCAGTCTCGGCCTTGGAATCACCATTTTGATGAGATGAGTCTCCATTAGCTTCGGCCGTGGCAGCTTCCTTTGGTTCTGAAATCAGATGGATACAGTCACAAATTTGTGCAACTTTCAGACCTGGAACATCAGCAGTTTCTTTTTCCTTTTTGGTTTCCGGGTTTGGAAGATCGGAGACTGTCACACTTTCGTCCGTCATTCTGAAAAAAAAACATTTGATAGGAATCGTAAACGAGAAAAACGAAATTCGAAAATTTGTACATATTTTGAAAATAAATCATAGAAAATGTTTGAATATCAAGATCGTCACTTGTTTGATTTGGTTAACATAATTTTCAAAATTATAGGGGAAACTCGAAAAACCGCGAATAGGTTATATTTTCGATATGAACTGGCTATTAATAGTGCTAAATTTTAAGTTAGAATTTTTGATCATCGTTCAGTTTACATTAAGCTGCTGAAAATTACAGGTGAAATTCAAAATTTTGACCTTCAAAAATTCGAATCTTCGTTTCGGCGGGAGGATCGACACTGACGACCGCTTCGCGTGTGTGACGCGGTGCGGTTTCTGCGTAGCGACTCTCTTCATCATTAGCGGCGATACGCAGCGTCCTCACAGGTCTGCGTCTCTATAGGAACAGCATTGACGATGAATGAGAAGCGCAGAATTCTGAAGATTTATGAGCACCTAAATATTTAGTGTTGATAGGTGGCAGGTGTTGCCCCGCCCAATCATGTAGTGAAAGCCCATCAACATCTCTGAACAGAAAACTAAATAGAAAGTTTAATCAGGGCCAGTGTTATGAGAAGTTTCAGTTGAACATCGTCTGAACAAGATCCGACGGGTTTATCTATTTTTCCCTGGTCAATTGGTACATTCCCCAAACTTTCAGATGCCTTCCCCGTAATACACATTGAAGAAACTCGAATGTCTTCTTCGTCGGCGAGCAAACTCAATATTGAAATTTGAAAAGAAAAGTCTGGCGCGATGAGCGACCGCGACGCATGGTGGCGCGATGCGTGCCTGTGTGCTGCGACTCAACTAATGTTGACCGTTTATCGTGATACGCAGGGTGCCTAGATGCCGATTTATGATCCCTTCTCGCGTAACTTTTTGCTTAGTTTCGCAATTTCTCAACTCTACTAGGTCGGAAAATCAATTGAACCAACATTCTAAAAAGAACCACGTGATCCGCCCGTTCTTGTCTTATTGATTCGTCGCCTACTCTCGCTTACTGACTACTTCGTTTTTAACCTCGTTCTTTTCAGATGGCTCCGTTGTTCCCAGATTTCCGCAAGATCCGGAAAAGGATGAAGCGATCCCTCAACTTCGGATCGAAACAGCCGGCGGCTCTCAATTATCCATTAACTCGTAAGTTCGTTAACCGTTTGAAAATTAGTACATTTTTAGTGGAAAAAACTGAAAACTCCAAGTAGTTTAATAATTACAGAACTAGTGGTAGACTACTTCGACAAAAAATCCACTTTTGACTACTTGGAACCCCACACTTCTGCTATGATTTCAAAGAATGGTTTTGCTGATCCCTGTACACTGGTTGTCGCTCTCGTTTATCTGGATCGTCTTCGTGATCAAAACAAGGAATATTTCGAAGCTACGGATCCCGTTTCGCTCTATGTCCCTGCTCTAGTTCTCGCTTCGAAGTACATACATGACACGGATACATACGACAGAGTTTCGAATTCGGAATGGGCAGAATCACTCAAGATGAATTTTGATGAATTGAATTCAAAAGAATGGGAATTGGTTAAGAAATTAGTGAGTGGCTAAATTCAGAAGATGTTTATTAAAATACAAGTTTTAGGACTGGAATGTGGCTGTGAAGAATGAGGAGTTCGAGAAATATCTAGAGAAAATGGAAAAATGGGTTGCTGGATCCTTTGTGGAGAAAAATGATTTTATGACGTACAATGAACTTCTTCAGTTGGTGAGTTTTTTTTTCTTTATCCATCGAAATTAACTGTATTCTTTTTTTTCAGTCATCAATGATTCCAATTATCGACATCGTCAAGCAGCTGATCGAATTCATCAGTTCCACCTCCCTTATCTACTGTCTCACTCTCGCTTTGATGTCGGCCACCATGTCTACCGTCTCCGAGCCATCGACTTCAACCGACGTCTCCGTTTCGCGAGACACCAATAGAACCTTCTCGCCAGTCTTCTTGTCGCCACGAACCCCATCTGAGCCAACCAACGACTTCACCTTCGAGTTCAGCGAGCACAAGTGGAACATCGAAGAAGACGTCGAGTTCGAGAAGGAGAATGGAACCGAAGCAGAGTTATGTCCCTTCAAATCTGCTCGCCGAGCCATTGATCAGTTCAGACTTGCCTTATCACCCTATTTCGCTTGTTATCGTGAAAATTTTGAGATATTCATAAAATAACATTTCCTCTCTCTTCACTTTTTATGTTAGAAAAAATGTGCCTTGATAATTGTGAGTAATAAGTCCCCGTTCAAATTAACCTTTTTGTAAGCAGGTGTTATCATTTGTTTTTTCTTCTGTTTGTTGTTTTTTTCAAAATGTTTATAATTCAAATTTCCTCGACCCCCAATGAATCCATCCATCTCACCCGTCGAACTTTTCTCGCCATGGCGCGACACAATACCTTTTTGTGTGTGTGAGCGAGTATTAGAGGCCTGTTATCGGTAACATTTGTTAGTGTTAGTCTCGGCTAATTTGATTAGGAGATGATGATAGCGCGAGGAGTTGAAAGTGGGGAGGTGACACAGAGCACCAATTTGCTCGTGAAGAATCGATTTTGACTGTCATGATTGCGTTCTTAACCTCATTTTTATTGCCTAATTTCTCTGTTTTATGAACTGCACCCAAACTTAATACTTTGCCGATTTTTGCTTTTTATGGAGACTATCATAAAGCAATAACCAAGATAAAGAACTTCACATTGCTCAGCTTCTAGGAATCGGAAAAGCCTTCTGGACAGTTTAGGCATCTTGAAAGTGTATAGAAAAACTGTTAGAAACTTAGGAATAATTCGAACCTTGGCCCATTTCATTATTTTTCTTTATCAAAGTGAATCTTGTGACAACTCTCTGTTTAAAAACTGGCAACAATTCTTCTGGAATAAGATAATGCTTCCGTTGCATTCAGAAGAAGGCAAAAAAGAGTTAAGAAGGACAGTTATCAGTTGTACTAAATCGTTTCACTTGACATTTTCGAGCGTCTTATTTTTTCTTTCACAAAGGAATTTGTTTCGTTGAATCTGATGTTGAATAATGGAGTCTCGGAAATTAGGATTTTGGGAAGATTACTGTAGTATTTGAACTATAACAACTTATGAATCGTGACTCTTATTCTGAATCACTCCAAGTATTTTCAGGTTTCCATTTGATTTGAAAACAATAGATATTTACCGTAAACACTCAAATAGAACGCCACCCTTATCTTTCAACTTTGTGCCAATTTATCTCGATTCCTGTCAAAGATATTTCAAAAGTGGTCAACTGACAACATATTTTTGATACTATGGTAAATATTTTGTTAGTTAACAACGCTTTGATATCTTTCACAGAGAATGAGATATATGAGCTCAAAGATAACAGTCAGGATGGTGATTTTTAGAGTGCTTACGGTATTTTTTTTTTGGTTTTCAGAATTATTGGCATCAAATTAGAAGAGTCAAAAAAATTGTTTGGGTGGGCTTCTATTAGAAAAAATAGGTAATTATCATAAACACTATAGTAGAACGCCTTCCCTATCTTTCAACTTTGAGTCAATTCATCTTGGTTCATGTTAAAGATGTCAAAGAGTGGACAACTGACAAAATACTTTAGAAATTATGATAAACATTTTCTTAGTTGACAACTTTCTCACATATTTTACAGGAAATGAGACATATGAGTTCCAAGATGAAGGTTTTTTGGTTTTCTTTGAGAATGCTTTCTAAACTCCTGAACGTTTTATCTCTTCGGAATCACTTCGAACATGAATGTTGTCAATTCACTTTTGTTTCATATTCTTTGAAATTTTCAGACAAATCGGAAAATTTGTAACTGCTTTTGTAGACGCTAGTTTTACATTTCTATAATTCACTTCTTGAAAATTCAAAATCTTTCAGCTGGTTTACTGTAGGTTTCTTGGAAATGGTTTGACTGTGATGACAATAATGTTAAAGTGTCGTTGAGTATTTTCTTTAGATGTTTACCTACCGTATCACATTTAATAGAAGCCCACTCAACTCGTTCACTCTGAGCTCAATTATCTCGATTCCTGTGGAAAATATCAAAAATTTGTCAACTGATGGAATATTGGTGATTTTATGCTGAACAAATTATAAAATCACAAGATTCTGAGAAATGGATTTCTTTGAACAACTTCAGAAATTATATAATATAACCGATTCAATCAATTGAACACTTTCATTCTCATTCAATTACTTTCTAAATATAAAGTTAAACTGATTTCCTTAAATTTTCAGATCGGGCGACGGATGCGTCGTACCGATGTTGTCCCATAAAATCGCGCGACTTCTCCTACTTCTAGTTTTGTGTTTCCTGTCCCATCTTTTATGTGCCGGGTTCTGTGGTGAGTTATCGAAGTTTTTACTATCTGTCACCTTGAGAACTTTGATTCAAAAATTCTGAAAGTTGACTGTTGGAGAGCGTTAAAATATACTTATTTTAATCTTGGACGGTGTTTAGTTAAAATAAATGCTTTAAAAAGTTAGTTTAAAATACAGTAGCCCGTTTTCAGCAACTGATGGTCATGGTGGTTCACCAACCAACGGCAACCAATATTATTTCTGTAATGCGGATAACTTCACTAAACAACTGGAACCTCCTGTGAAAAATGATTCTACTACAGTAATGAATTCTTTTAATTCTTTCCAGATTAATCATATAATTTCAGGGCAATTACTGTGATGTTGTATTTCTTCTTGATCTTGATTCCACCTACACTTCAGAAGAGAATTATACACAAGTCATAGAATTTATCAGTGATACGACTGATACTTGTATGAATCGAGGAATCGGTTATAATGTGTTTGCTTATCCAATGTGGAATGAAGTGAGAATTTTTTACAAGCAACACAACAAAAAAAAACTGCGAATTCCAGAGCTTGACGACAAAATGTTGTGATCCTCAACAATGCAGAGTAAGCTTCGGATTCATGAAATATGCTGACTATGTTGGCCATTACACCAGTTTGGATCCAATTCAACCCGTAACTTCTCAGTACAATTTTAGTTATGTGCTAATTGACGACGTGAGGTTTGAAGTATTAACCTACAACATTTTCAAAATCTTTAGCTCAAAAATATCGGCGGCAACACAAAAGACGCATGTCTTTACAATAACTATGTTCTCATAACCAATCGAATCTTCGATATACGACAGCAGCCAATAGTGATCGATGAAATTTCGAAAATCGAGAACGTTGGCTGTCTCACTCTGACAGTTATTGTTGTTGGGAATGATCAAATCACAACAAAGGATATGTACGACTATTATCAAACAACATTGAATTATGTGGTTCCCAATTTCAACTGTCTGTATCTTCTCAAAGTTAGTTTTTTCTTCAATAGTTTTTGTCGAATTAAGGAAAATCGGCTGGAAAAAATATTTGAAAAACAGGCCAAATGCTATCACAGGAAATGAGCTACGGTACCGGTTAGTGAGGTATACAGAAACATGTTTTTAGTGGACTTTGACCATTTTCGAAAGTCTAGAGTTCGGCTGTCAAGTTTCCGATCAATTTGAAAATTTTGGAGGATGTAAAACAGACCTACATTGTCAACTATGCATTGACAGAATTTTTCGAAAATTTCTATCTTTTCAGTTATTTGCCATTTTCTGAAGACACTGGTTTTTTCCACTTTTTCACAACAAAAACAGGAAAAATTGGTGTCTTTTAGAAATATGCAAAACGTTGAAAAACTAGAAATTTAAAAAATCTGTAAATGCGACGGTTTTAATCTAGGTCTGTTTCACATCGTCAAAAATTTTCAAAGTGATCGGAAACTTAAAAGCCGAGCTCTAGACTCTTGAAAATGGTCAAAATCCACTGAAAACACATCTTATTGACTGGTACTGTACGTTGGTCTCAAAGCAGTAAGTTAAAGTGCCGTTCTATTAGAGTGTTTACGGTATTCTTCTTTTGGTTTTCGAACTGTTGTTATGAAATCACAAGGTTCCTGGATTTCTTTAAACAATTCCAGAAATCCTATAACCGAATCAAAATAGGCAAACGCTGTATCTTTTTTACTCTTAGGACTGTATAAAACCATGTGGATCGAAAGGATCTAACGAATGTTTCCAATTGGCTCTTAGTACTTGTGCCAATCCAACAACTCCTGAACAAACGACGGTTGCAACAACACCAACAACACCATCAACTCCAGAACCCACACCAAACGCATCGTTTTTGAATGATTGGCAAATCACGTATCTCTTCGCAGTCACAAACGCGACAACTGATGAAGAATTTAATCGTCTTGTGAACTATATTTCCGATCCACTGCAGGAATGTAATGGCAAGTCAATGATCATCAGATTTCTTGCCAGAGACAACATGAATTCTGGATGGATGAACGATTTAAATCATGCAGGAGACTATTTGCAAAAATTGAAACCCGAAGAAGTGCTCATTGGAACAGGTAACTAAGAAAGGAATTTGAACAAGAGAAACCAAAATGTTTAAGGTCCACTTACAGATCGTGCCTCACTTTTACCTGGAATGGACAATATCACATTTGATTTGGTTTATGAAGCAGTGTCTAGACCTCCAAAGTACAATGAAGGTGTTTCTGTTCCAAGAGTTGTTCTTCTCACTGATTTTGTGTCTAAATCCTTCTTGGATAATTACAATACATCCCTTCTTCCACTTCTGGAATACTACGACTTTAACATCATTGCTTTCACAAATGTAACCTACTATTCTCTTCACATCGACTCCAACGATTATTTTTTTCAGGATTCATACTATCAATACAAAACCAAATTGTCTATAAAATCGAAGCAAATAACAAATGATGCCGGGTATGAGGATAGTAACGAATTGAAGTTGTGTAAATCGAAAGAAGGAGCAAATGTTACTACAATTATGTTCATTATCATTGGCACATGCTCTGGAGCAATGTTCATTCTCATCCTGTTAACTGTTCTCTATAGACAAAAATATATGTGGATGAGGAAATTGAAGAAATTCAAAACGTCTCACACTCATGATTCAATCGACGATCAAATGTAAGACTTGTATTTTTTCTAGTACAAAAAATCGGAGCTATGGTCATGGCCGAAGGTTCCACAACGGAAACTACAGTAACCTAAAAATACCGTGAAACCTGTATCAAGTTTTCGAGAAAAAGTTTTTCAATTTTTTCAACAAATTTCTATTTTTTTACAAATTTCTTTCAATTTTTTTTCAACAAATTTCTGTGAAATCGAGGAATTTTCACTGGAAAAGTACGGAAATTTTTAATTTCAAACAGCACATTTAGAAGGGGGCCCTTCTACTACAGGGATCTTTTCTATTTTTACATGTCCTTCTCAAAGGGCCCTTCTATTAGAGTTGCACTTCTAATAAAGGGGCCCTTCTAATATAGGTTTTACAGTATTTTTACTTTCCAAATTTATTTTTTCGATTTTCGTGTGGTTTCAGTCAATGTTTTTGCAATCAAAAGTTTTTATTTTCTGACCTGTTTGGGGGAAAATAACACAAAACTTCACGACAAGCAAAAAAAAAACGATAACTTGTCGTGAATATATATCCGGAAAAAAGTCAGGTTACGGTAGTTGTCGTTGTGGGACTTTCGGCCGCGGCCACAAGCGTTTCTCATCTACAACTTCAATTTTTAAGTACCAGAATAATATGTAGTCTTCAAAATCTTCAATGTATCTTATTCCAGGATTGACTACTGGGAGCTTTCCTGGGAGAAACTGGTTGTGAAGAATGAGAAACTGGGTCACGGAGCATATGGACATGTATTCAAAGGAAAAATCAACGGAATCCCACCGGCTATTAACAAGTTTTTGACAGCAGAAGCATTAGATTTTACGGATTGTGATTGTGCGGTGAAAATGCTTCCAAAATATGCAACAGAGTCGGCCAAACAAGAGTTCAGACACGAAATTGAGCTCATGAAAAACCTGGGATTCAATGAACATATTGTGAACATGCTTGGATGTATTACAATATCTACGAAATCCTGTCTAGTCTTGGAGTACTGCTGCCATCGGGATCTATTGCGATATGTGAAAAACAAAAAGTGTGATCTGGAAATTGTAAGTTTTCCGGAAGAAGGCTTTTCCGAAATTCTCTAAAAATCTGATTTTCAGTCCAGAAGTGTGGATGACACCATCGACAGTCACAAGGAATTTCTGAACTTCGCATGGCAAATCACTCAAGGAATGAGATTTTTGGTTGATAAGAAGATCATTCATCGTGATTTGGCAGCTCGAAATGTGTTGATAACTGAGCAATGTGGGATGAAAAGTGCGAAAGTTAGTGATTTTGGATTAGCGATTTCATGTGAGCCATCGGAAAATGGAAACGAAGTAACAGGATCAGATAGACTTCCAATTAAATGGTTAGCATTGGAGTCTCTTGAAAAAGCAGAATTCTCCCATAAAAGTGATGTTTGGTCGTTTGGAATTGTCATCTTTGAAATGTACTCTCTCGGTGAAGTCCCATTCGCTGAAATTGAGCCAACTGAACTGATTGCTCATCTGAAAACAGGAGCTCGTCCCAAAACTCCGCTTCTCGCCACGGATAAAATCGAAGAAATTATGGCATCTTGTTGGGAAGAGAAGCCGTTGAAACGACCGGAATTCGATGAGCTATCCTCAATTCTTGCGACACAACTGGAACAGACAACTGAAGGATATGGATACCTACAATTGATAAGAACTAGAGATTATAGAGTAGTGGCTGAAATAAAGGGACCGACGGAAGAACAAAATAAGTCAACAGATGAACCGATTTGCATAGATGATCATCCTCCGTATGTGACAAGAAATCGTTCAGTGACGTGGAGAAGCAAACCGAATGGAGAAGCGAAATTGGGAAGAGAGTACAGTCTGACAACTCATGTTTGTGAAGGTTAGTTGTTGAAAATAAGGATGATTTTGGGAAGATGGGTTTTTGAAATAAAGAAACTACCGGAGCCAAAAAGTTCTAAGAAATCAAAAATGATTCTAATGACCTAGTTCAAAACATAATTTCAAGTTGTTCGAAATGTTTGATCTTTTCCTTTTTGGTAAAAGGGAAAAGAGCCATTTTGTGCTAAAATGCACTGAATAGTAGAAAGTGTACTCTTCACTTTTTCAACTATACCACAGTTAAAAGGGCACTGAAAAGAAAAACTGTTAAATGAAAAGGCGCAACTGCTCGCCGAAGGACAAACTAACGGGCCGCTGACGGACTGACAACGGACCATCAGATTCCCTTTGAATATAGACTTAGAAGTTTTGATTGGAAATCAACCAGAAAATAAATTCCATATTCCCACTAGAATGATGGAAGTTAATTTGTCTCAAATTGAGCCATCTCAAAAACAGGTTGTTGAACGACAGCTTAATGAAAGCCTAAGAGGCGCTGACTGATCGATGACAACTGGTTGGCAGGCCCAAAAATTAGTCGAAATATCTCTCTGCGTCTCCACCGAATATGACATATTTAGGCGTGTCGCTTCGAGGTACCTACCGTATTCAGTCTGCAAAAAATACTCTCTAACACTAATTTTTTCAGACAACAATAAGATATATAAACTAAAGCTCAGAAGGTTCAAACCCGGATGGGCTTAAACCGACAACAAATGACAACCATAATATCCATCTTTGGCCAAATATATCTCGGTTCCTGTAAAAAAATATTCAGAAACTTTGAAAACGAAAATGTTTGAATTGATATCAGAAACATTCCATCAGTAGACAATGTTTTAATATCTCAAACAGGAAACAAGATAATTAGGTTCAAAGGAACGGTCTTTCCAAGGAGTTTCGCAAATTTCAAAAGTAAAAATTCCAGTTTATTCAAACTTGATGAAAAAAATTTAAAAAGGCAAGAAAATGTTTCGAAAGAAATTTTAAACTCTAGAGAAAAAAACGACTACGTGAATTGGTTTAGAAACCATTGACCTCTGGGATAATAATATAAAAGAAGAGGGAAATGAAAGGAAGAATCAGTTCTCACCTTCTCTGGGCTTCAGAGAAGGTGACCCGGGGATCCGGGACAGGGAGCCTGAGTTCTGGGCCCTGGGTCCTAGGTCTTGGGTCTTAAATCCGGGTGACCTGGATACGGGTGACCTAGATCCGGGTGACCTAGATCCGGGTGACCTGGATACGGGTGACCTGGATCCAGGCGATTGGGATTCGGGTGCCCTGGATTCGGGTGACCTGGATCTGGGTGACCCAGATCCGGGTGACCTGGATCCGGGTGACCTGGATCCGGGTGACCTGGATCCGGGTGACCTAGATCCGGGTGACCTGGATCCGGGTGACCTAGATCCGGGTGACCTGGATCCGGGTGACCTAGATCCGGGTGACCTGGATCCGAGTGACCTGAAAATAATGAAACAATATGTGAGAAATATCGAGCGTTTTAGTTTTTAGCAATACCTCTCTACCTCTGGTTTTTATTGAGAATCAGCTTCGAGTAGAAAACCAAAAAGCTGTCATTACTAAATATTCGACTTATACTGGTCACTGAAAGAAACTGAAACGAGAATATTTATTTGAATTCTACAATAATCTCACAGGTTAGAAAAAGAAAGCTTCAAAACTTTTGACCTACTTCAAGTTCATTAGAATCATTTTGACTTCTTAGAACTTTTAAGGCTTCTGTGGACACTTTGTTCATGATTTCTAGTTTGTTTCTCACGTCATCTAAGAAATGTTTTCAGATGAAACTTCGCAAAAACAAGCGCCCAACGGAACCCCAAAACTTCCCACAACTACTGAACCTCATGAGAATAATAAGAAAGATAAAAAGAAATCCTATCTGAATCTTCCCAATCTTCTACCTTCTCTGAATTCGATCAATCCATTTTCCAAGGACAACGAGTTTAAAAAAACATTAAAAAAAAAGAAATTCTACTCTCGAAGAGGTTCAGTTCCCTACTAATCTTCCAGACAAATCTCAGTATGTAACAACTTTGCTACGATTTCTCATAAAATATTACCGGTGCCCTCTATTTTAAATTGTATGTACATATTTTCAATAAATTTTTTATTCTTTTATAAATTTTTATTAGCTTAAAAGAATGGAGCAATTGACACACAGGACTATTCAAATAAAAGAAATAAATTACAAAAAAAAGAAAAAAGGAACAGAATCACTAGAAAAAGAATCAGAAATCACAGAAAAACAGAAAACCTTGAAATTTTTTTTACAATAAATACAGAAATCATATTTAACCAATTACTCGAAAAAAAACTATAAAGAACCGTATATTGTGGTTGTGTATTGCACGTATTGAGGAGTTCAATTAGGATTTTGAGCATTTCCCATGAAATTAAATCAGAGCTAATTAAGTGTCAGCACCAAACATTGTCAACCTGATTCGAGGTTGTTGAACGACTGGTGTTGTCTGGAAATTTGATAAAATTAATAAATCTTCAAATTAATAATTTCTCTATTCCTCACCTTCACCTCTTGAGTCCTTGCCATTGAAATTTGATGGGAGTGTCTTGTGGATTGAAGAAGAAGTGCACTTTCTACTCTTGCCTTCAATTCCTTATTCCATTCTACCACTTTTTTGAATTCCGTCGGCCACATCAACGCCGCCGAATTCAATCTTCCAATAGCCATCTCATGAAGCTTCTTCTCGATCGTTCCCACTTTTCTCCATTCCGTATGAGAAGTTGCTCGAAGGAATCGAACCAACAGTTGGACATATAACGAGATGACGTGGATTCGTTTCCCATCTTTTGCATTCATCGCCAACACCTCGATCACTTTCATACACTCTTGTACGATGGCCAAATCGGATTCCGTAATTTTCTCGTTCTCATTGTCGACTTTCAATGTGTATCGTTTCACAACTGGCATAATCTCTTTTCCAAGATATTTCACAAAGATCCCTCCGAACCCTTTCCGCCCAAATATTGATCCTAACGATTGGAGAGTCTTCATAACTACAGCAACATTGTCACTTTGAAGATGTCGTTTCAATAAAACAATGAGTTTGCTAAACGACTCCTGATGACCAAGAACAACGTCTACTGGAGCAGATGTAGTGAAAACTACGGCAGCTAACATAATCACGCATTTATCCAGTTGAATTCGTTCGTTTTCTGAAAACATATAGGTTGATGTTGGAGTCCGAAAGAAAGCGACATACCTTCTGCCATATTGAGCACGGAATAAAATGCATTTCTCATTATAGTCTTCCAGCTAATCGCAGTCTCATCGTCTGGTGGTTGACTGACAATGTTCCTAATAGATTGAATTGCAGCCGCCGCAATTGCAGAAAGATGTCCAGCACGATCGGTTTGAATTGATCCTTCATCTAATCTTGCCGACTCTCTAATGAAGCCAAGTAAGAGATACATGATGACTGGGAGTACAGTGACTTTAGCTTGCGGTGAACATAGACTTGGAATTTGTACCAGGATTTGCATACTCTTGATGACTAAATGAGTACTTTCCGCTGGGAGCCGTCCCACTTTTCGTAGATGGAGGGCAGCTAAACTGTTGGTTTTCAGCTGTGCGGAATTGATTTGTGGCATCTGCTTGAAAATCGCACAAACTACAAGCTCTAGAACTGCGTAGCTAACAGTTTTGACTCCGCCTTCATTGATAATCTGTCCCTCGTTTCCGCCTTCTGACCCACTGAACAAAACATTTGGGATTTTTCTCAGTGTATCTGCATTCTCCATGTTTCCATTTGAAATATCTCTAGATGCACAGATTCTCATAGCCAACTGGGCAGCATCAATGATAGATCGGACGCATTCGATGCACTGAAGTTGAGTTGTGAGGCAATCTCTTGTAAGAACACTCCTATGAAGAACACAAAGTATTTCGATGGCAGCTGGAACGTCACTCATCAGATGCATTTGACACCACTCGCAAGAAAGCAATCGAGTTAGTGATTTAACTGACATTTGGATAGTTTCATCTTCAATTTGTCTTGTTTTATTGCTCAATGATTCAACGGCGATTCCGATTAGAAGATAGAATCTGGAGATGTTTCCTTCATCTCTCCACACTGATCCTGTTTCTGGTGATAGCTCAATTCCAGAGGGTAGTTCAAAATTGTTTTTACTTAACCAGGTAGAGCAGGCAAGAAGAATTGGAGGCCAACAAAGTTGATAATATTCCCGACACGCTTCAGCACTGTGAGCATTGAAAAACGCCCCTCCACGACTCAAGAATTTTTCAGAATAGTGAGCAGGAAGAGCAAGAAGGGCAGCATCATTGAGTGTAGCGAGCCAATAAGCAATTAGTGAATTGGTTTCTGGTTCCACAAGAGACAATAGTGATCCACTTCCGTTGTATTCGTAATGATCCCTAGCCTCTTCGTTTTCATTCTTCATCCGATCCTGCTCAATCGCTGTCACATATACCTCCGCCCACGCCTTCAGAATCGATAACTTTTCGAGTGTGGCAGCACTTTCGCTATAGAGTTGTACATTGATCGAGCCGTGTTTTAGTTTGTTCAGAGAAGACACAAGCAGCTGGTGGACACGCTTCAAATCGTTCAAATCCCTGGCGACACCACTTCCAATCCAAGTACTGCATACTTGACAAGCCACTGACGTCACATTACTGGGCGTGTCATCAGTGAACGCCGGACGGAGAGCGGCGCCCACTTGCGCTTGAAACTGTTCCAGAATCATGTGTCCTGGGAATTCAGGTTCTGGACAAGACGAGAAACGGATGATCACTTCTTCTAAAGATTTTAATCCAGCAATTCGAAGTAAGGAGTTATCAGAAGTAGCAGCCATGAAAGACATTCGAACTAGATCCGAAAGATGGAGAACCAGATAATCATTCTTTCCAACTGAAGTTATTTGAAGTTCTTTCGCCAGAGCCATATCCAAATGGGCTCTTTCTGTGTCACAAACACTCATCAATCGATTCACGATTTCCATTGTGAATACTTTCGTTGGCCATCTTGGTTGCACTTTTCCTCTATCTTCTTCCATCAATGAGCTAATTCCAGCCAGATTTGTATCATCATCGCCTTCCTCGTCATCTTCATCATCTCCATCTTCTTCCACACGTTCCTTCTTCTCCTCCTTCTTCCTTGCCAATCCATGATCATTGGAAGTTGCCAGAATCTCCTTGCACAACATCAACCAATTGTTCAAGAGCTCTCCAGAAGTTCCTTGAACCAACGAGACCAGTGTTTCTTGTAGATGAACTCTCAACTCTTTGTTCACTTCTGTATCCAGCATCCCGAACAGTGCTCCTTCTAATCCAGATTCTGGTAAAGCGAACTTCTTCTTGTTTGTTTCCACAATTCCTTGGGGAACCAACACTTGAGCATGGTTTCGAACCTGCAAAAAATAAAATTGTGTTATGTTCTCTTTTTTTTGAATATTTTTTTTGTACGAACCTCTTTTGACTCTCTTTGGACAAGTTGCCGCAAACAACTGACTGCTTGTCGTCGGATGACGAGATGTGTTGAAGTGAGAAGTGAACTGATATCCACGACGAGCTGAGCCATATGAACGTATCTTGGAGCGAAGAGGTGCATCTGTTGAAGTCCTGAAATCGCTTCTGCTTGAACGAAAGGATCGGAATGGGATAGTTGAATGGCGCAAGCAGCAAGAAGCGAGGTTCGAACGCCATCAATAACTCCTGGGCAGCTAAGTTCCGGTCCAACGCAGGTGATGAGAGCAGTTAGCTGAAAAAGAACCAACTTTGATGTGCCCAAAATGAACTTTACTTACACATTTACTGATTCCTTGTACTACATCCACTACAAAAGTTGGAGTCGAGATCAGAAGTTTGAGACATGAACTCAATGTGGTTTCCACGAAAACCCGGAACATTCCACTACCAGTTTCAGCTATCAACGCCATTGCTACCAAGGCACACGTTTGAACCTTTGGCATTTTGTTCTCCTCGGCCAAGGCTAGCATCACAGAAACACCCGTATTCAGATGTTGTCCACTTCCAAGAGATCCAACGTGGCGGTGAAGGCATCCGAGAGCAAGAACATGTCCACATCGATTCACTTCATCCTTGCAACTATTGAGCATATTGAAGCAGTACTGCGCAGTTTCAGCAACGTATTGTGGAAGTCCAACAGCTTGAGCAAGGCGTGCCAATGCTTCTGCACCGATTAAACGAGTCATTGGGCATGTGTTGGAGAGTGATGAGCTGATCAGTTTGAACGATGATTTTTGTAATTCCTCATTTTCCAGTTTAGGCCCACGTTGCTCACAAAGAGTTTTGTAAGCAAGAAGTTTGGCAGTCAGCACATTCATAAAAATCTGAAACCGGAAAAATAACGATTTTAAAGAGCATGAATAAATCGTACCGCTTGTTTTCTTGGAACATTTTTGGTTGCAGTTTGAATTGTGTCGTAGAAGTGATTGGTAATTTGAAGTTTGTGTTTGTTGTTGACCAATGGGAAAACTTTTCCATAAGTTAACAGAGCAGTATTTAGGCACGTCAACGCTTCAGATTCGTTTTCAGGCCATGAGTCTCCAATTTGTGAAGCCGATGCTCGGATGAGATTGGAGAGATCTTCTTCAACGTTTCCAATCGCAACAGATGATATTGGTGTTTGTAACTGCAAATATGAAAGTTGAGCCAGAAATACCAAAAGATAACTTACCAAGTCTTCAACCATAGAATAGTCTGTTGCGTTGTACAGTGGAGAAATTAGAACCTTTTCAACTCCGGTAAACTGTGTCATTGGCAGAGAAGTCGTCATCGTACTCTGCGAGTTGTCTGATAGTGTAATGTCAGCGACAAGCTCCCGAAGAAGAGCCACGTAGCTTCCTTCAAAACTCTTATGCGGAAGAAGCAGCAAGAGACGGTAAAGACGGATTCTGACGACTGAATTGGCTTGCCTCATTTCATTTCCATAACTTTTGATGAGATTCCCAACTCTGGAAAATTCAAATTTAGATTTACTTTTTTCAGCACGGTTGAAACTTACTGTGACATCATTACAAGACTGCATTCGATAGGTACTTTCATGGTTTCTAGTGCGTTACTTGTGGAACACAATTCAGGTTCAGAAGCCACTGCCTCCATTACTGAAAGTGCTCCTGCCTGAGCAACCATGGCACATTGCCACGAGAATGCATCTCCTCTGCTATTCTCAGTTTCAGCTTCTCGTGCACTTCGCGGGAATGCCGCCTTCCAAAGTTTCATGACACGTGGCAAATGCTCTTTCATTACTGATGGTCCGAGATGGATCAGAGAATTAATGAGATTCCATCCAGATTCCAACTTGGCAATTGTCAGTTTTGGTTGCTGGGTTGCAGTTCGAAGCATTTCTTCAGCGAGATCCAGTACTTTCAGTGGTTTAGCGTAGGGTACTCCAAGCTTTGAACTGTCGTTTGATGCTGCTATAAGAGCTGCAAGAGCCATGGAGAATCCACTGATAGCTCTGGATGAAGAAGACATCTGGTCTAGTCTTGGAAGGCATCTATCGATTAGTGGAGTCATCAGATTCGGAACAGCAGTTGCCACACATCGAAGACACCAAGCGGCTGAATATCTAACAGATGCAAGTGGATGAGTAAGGCACTTGAAAATATTCTCCATGATTCCAGTAGCTTCAGTGAAGAGTGACATAACAGATGATCCGATTTGTCTCACAAGAACAGAAATTTCTTGAAGAATCACGATAACTGCATAGCCATTTGCATAATCGTTGCTATCAACAGACGAATCCAAATTATCCCCTGTTCCTATGCTCGTAAGATCTACGTATTGACCCAGAAGCTCTCCCAAAAGTTTGCATCCGATTGTCTGGGCATTTTCTCCCAGCAATGCCCCGACAGTTTGACGTAGAATGAAAGAGATACATCGACGGATGATTAGTGCCTCGGTGACATGAGCAGCATTTCTGCAACCATCAAAATTATATTCAAGTTGTATATTTACATGAATCTTACTGGGTATAAGCTAAGTGTCCACACTTCGATGCCAGATCTACCATATGAGAACAAACTGCTCTCACATGTTTTTCGAGCCAAGTCGATCCCATTTCTCGCACCATTTCTACATAACACTGAAATAATCTTTCTTAGTTTTCTTTTCAAAATATTGTTAAACTTACAATACTGACTCCAATTCGAATATCCGATCTTCCCATAGTTGCGAATGTTGAAGAACTAGTTTTCAAAAAGCCTCCGATACCTCCACGAAGGAATCCAGACGCCAAGTGATTGAGTGTGTCTGTTACAGTAGCCGGTGTGACTGGTATCATTTGGTTTGATTTTCCTTCTGGAAAGTAATATTTGAAAACCCATCTAATAATTATAGTTCTGCATACTCAACGCAGCTCCAGGTGGAGGTTTCATGGAAGTTGCAAGCAACTGAGCCATGAATTTTGCAACAGCACATCTCAACTCATACGTGGATCCCTCTAGAACCTTGATGCACATCGTGCAAGACGCTTCCAGTTCAGTTGTGTAAATTGGTGTGTAAAATGGTACAAGAGCTGTCAGACATTCCAGCGCGGCAATCTTCACATGAGGAGTTTTACACAGGGTTCTATCTTGTAGCAAGCCTTTGGCAATTGTGTGGATTTTCTTGTATGTTACAGAGTCTCCAGAACCAAGAGCCTTTACCATACATGCCAACGTATTCATGATGTGTGCTTGAGAATGAGCAACTGCAGTTCCCATCCAGTTTTTGGAGATCGCTAGAGTGTCTTCAATTGATCTACCCGCCATTTTGCCCATGGAATCGTAGAGAGCTGCGAGGCAGGACAACGCTGCTCTGAAAGGAATATATGTCAACTTGAGGCAAGAATTTAACACTTACAATTTATTTTGCACTGTCTTCGGAGACTCATCCTTGTTCTTAAGTGTATCATTACAATTGTTGAGTAGATTGTTCATCGAGGCAATATCCCCAGTAAGTGCGTAAACCCGTGCTATACATCGTGTCAGCAGTTTCCTCGTCGGTGGACCCACTACAGTATACAGTCGATCTTCTAACTGTCTCTGTAACTCCTTCTGCACATTTTTGAGGTCTTCCCTCTGTGTGATGGGAAGTATCCGATCTAAGTATCGAAGCCATTCGTATATGAAAACTGGACGCTTCTGCTCAGGACAAGCCTCAAGAGCTTCCTCGTTCAGTAACAAACTATGGGTTTCATCCATGAAACTTTTGAATCTGTAAAAGAACATTTATGAGAAGAGACGGTTAGAAAGGAGAAGATAGAGACGATGGATCCGGATACCATACAAATAGAACGTCGCAAGATTAAAGTTTCAAAAAAAGTTTTATACATGACAAAGAATACAAAACCCATATGAATACAAAAAATCACATTTGAAAGAAACACCAGATAAAAGAAGAAGAATGAATTATGGTACAGTGTACAAGACGTATATGGAATGGATGGTCAGTGAGAGGAGAAGGAGATTCTGAAAAAATAAGTGTAAAAGGAGCTTATTATGCGCATCACGAGCAATAACAAGTTGTAAGTTGAACTACTTAGCTTCGATTTTCTTTTGCTCTCACGGAAAAAAATGGTGAAGGTTCCTTCATAGTATATAAGTCAAAGAGGGTTCGGTCAACATAAACAAACGTTTTTTTTTCTGGGGTCTTACTCTACCAAAAAAGAGTGTGGCTGCTTATTCTGGGCACGGAGATGGATGTATGACGAAGAGAAGACCAGAAAAGTGTAACTCAATTTGGGGCAGGCTACCAACGGCTCAGAGAGCACCCGATTGGAAGGAGAAAGCACACCACCAATGGGCTCGAATTTCGCAAAGAAGAAAAACTCGAAAAAAGAAAAAGTAGAAGCGAGAAAAAGTCGGGTCGCAGATGCGCCATCGCCGTAATGGTTGAGAATAAGAAGAAGAAGACGTGAAGAAGAAGAAGAAGGGAAAAGCGTGAGGCGCGAGAAGGCGCGACAAAAGAAAGTTTAAACGAATAGGTCCATGCATGGTGAATGCGTGTCTCCTTTTTTATCCTTCTTCTTCTTCTGCTATCCCCCAAATTTTTTTGAATCCCACCACCATAGCTACGACAACGACAACGACGACGACGATAGATATTCCCTCGAGAAGATGACGGATTGAGACGAAAGAAAGTCGCATTCGGCCTATTTTGCTTTTTGTTTGTTGCTCCTCGCTGTTTTCTGTTCTATCTTCTTCGCCAGTCCGTCCTTCTCATCGCGATTTGGCGCCACTTTGATGGACAAAAAAGGAAGGAAGCGTGGCTTTGAGAGCTTAGAAAGCGAGCGGGGGCGATGTGGATTCCGTCGGCTAGAAAACAGAGAAAACACTAATCGAGTTTGTTGGGTTCCGAGGATTCATTCACATGAAAAATAGAGAAACCAAGAGATGACACCGTAGGGACCAATAAATTATCATTCCTGAGAAAAACCTTTTGGCACTAAAGTGAATGGACGAAACTAATAGTAAATTGCCGTAAAAACTGTATTAGGACTCTCAATGTAGAAGGGCCCCTCTAATAGAAAGGCCCTCTGGAGGTACCTTGGAACAACAAAATTGGAGCTGTGGAAGAGAAAAGCTAGTACGCGTGGTCGGAGGTCCCACAGCGACAACTACAGTATTTTTTAAAACATTTATTTTCCGTATATAACTTTTCGGTTTTAGTGACTTTTCGGTTTTAGATTTTTCACTCTAAAACATTATAATTTTCCGACAGAAATCGACGACGAAAGTCAGTAAAAAACGAGAAAATAAATTCTGAAAATCGAAAAACTTTTAGGTTACTGTAGTTGTAGCTGTGGAACACTGATTTTTTGTACCAGAATAATAAATTATGAAAATGAGATGTATACACATCTATCGTTTTTGGCCTTTTTCGTATAAATAAACAAATGAGAAGAAATGTGAGCTGGCGTTTTCGTTTCGTTTCCGTCCGCCAAAATGGATTAGACCCCATCAAATAATGGAAGTGACTGATGGTCGCTCGAAAAAAAAGGAACCACTTTTTTAAGATTGAAAATCCTATATTATGCTTTTTTGGAACCAATTACTACCGTATTCCAAGTGATTTTGTATAATTTTGTTAAGCAAAAAGAACTCACTGATTATCACCTCCTTTGTCTCAACATGTCTCTTTCGAAATGCTCAGCGGTCATACTTCCAGCCAACCTCTCGCAATTGTCATTGAAAACTGAATAGGCGCTCATCTCGCCGTGACGTCGTCTTCCAGTATTCCAGTATGTGAAGAGGATGAGTGAAAGAATGAAGAAGACACATCCGAAATGAGCCCTAGAATTCATTCAATTTTTCAATTTGTTTCGAAATTTGTGTTTCGAATGGGAATCGAATGAAGAGGTTACTTCTTCTTCTAGGAAAATGTCCAAAATTAGCACTCTATACCGAAAGGAACCAGAAAGACAATGGGTTGCACAGAAAGCCCGGCACTCCCATTCTCTCTTTATCCTCCACTCTCTCGAGTGGGTTCACTCGGCAAACATATGTCATGTCGATCTCTCTTCGGCCCTCATGTCCGTTGGCCAATTTTTCAACGAACGACGGGGAGATAATTGCAGATATATACTACTACTACTACTCACCAAACTGCCAAAGCTTGACCAATAACGTATATACCAATTGCAAGTGAAGTTGAAACCCATTTCCTTTCTTCTGAAAATCGGGGAACGGATTAGAAACGAAAAAAGTTTTACATTTTTACTCTGGTGCAAATAATTGGAGCTGTGGAAGAGAAAAAATTGGCCGAAGTGTCCACAACGACAACTACAGTAACCTAAAACTTTTTATCTCCTTTTTCACTGATTTTCGCCTTCGGCCACGGCCACCTTTTCCACAGCTCCGATTTTTTATCATAATAATAGTTTCGAATAACCCACCATAACCCTCGGGAACCGCTTCGGATTTAGTCAAAAAATCCCACTCTTTTCCATTCGGCATCTTCTTTTCAGCTATTTTCTCTTCTTCAGCTTTCTCAACCTTCTTCTTCTTTTCATGTTCCTGTTCTAATTTCGTTCTTTCTTTTTCTTTCTCTTTTCGGAATTCTTGAAGATTCCGGAGCACATCGCCCATACTAAAGTAAAGCTTGAATAGCGGAGAGGTTTTCTAGAAAAAATATTTTCGTTGTTGGTCTACAACCAGAAAAGGGAAAATTATACAACAATTTGATAGGCATGCAATGATTTATTATGATTTATCACGAAAATGATGATCTGTAAAGTATGAGATACGGATGGGTGTGTAGAGAATCACAGGTGACGAGATTTGAACCAGGAGAGTTATAATTGAGATCGGATCGGCTTGGCCAGGAAAAGATATTGATTTTGGCGATCGACTTTCTTGAGACAGACGTGATTAAAGTGATTACGGAGCTGAAATTTATGTGTTGATTTCCCTTGATACAGATCATCAGAACTCACAATTTGAAGTGATTTCTCGGGCGCGCTCCGATTTGTGAAACCGGTGAGCTTTTCTAGATTCGAATGCTCAACAATCTTTGGAAACATCAAATGTGGTATGACCATATCCATTTCCAACGTTTTGAGATTTGGAAATCCCTCAAGAATTTTTACAAAGTTTTGTACAGTATTACAAGATCCATTCTGGACAAGATGAAGATTCTGGATAGTTTCGAATGTCGATGACACAAGAATATCGATAGAGGCTGAAGTCAGTTTGCAACTGTTCAGGGTGAGAGTGTTCACAGTGGATGGGATTTTGAGAAGAAGTTCATCGATGGGAGAGAGTTCTTCTTTGTGAGAAGTGCATCTGAAAAACGTCCTAATGGTTACGGTAGAATGAATTGGACTTACGAAATTTGAAGCTCTCTCATCGCATAAAGCTTCGGAAGAATATCAAGTTGATCGCAATTATCATCGTGCAAATTTGAGATTCGTAGAGTGTGTGCTTGTTGAAAAATGAGTGGACATGCATCGTAGAGAAGTTTCAATGTGTTATCCTCCTCATCTCTGAATTGTATTCCAACGGCCGGAGCCCGATTGTTCATTGGAATGATATCAGCTGAGTCGGTGGACACAAACACTTGCATGATTCTTGATCTTTCAGACATGAATTGGATCAAGGCAGTGATTAGAATTCGTGGAATTTGTGGATCGGGGAAGACCAATCGACAAAGATCAAGTTCGACATTATGAATCGCCATTTCCACCATGATTTCTTCGATAAACCATTGAGTTTTAGACTGGCAGGGCGTGACGTAGCAGCAAAAGTGCTTCAGATTCGGTCCAATTAGCCGCTTCATTCGGGCAATTTCACTGCTCCATTGACGATCAAGAGTCAGTTCAAGAGATGTGATTCGATTCAGCACGACGAGCTCCTCGGGTTCATCATCCGTCTCCGCGGAGAAGTTACGAGCATTTTTGACAATGATCCGATTCAAATTTGGAAAAGTTTGAATTTCCTCGAGGACTCCGATTGTGAACCGTCGAAACTTGATTTCAAACTCCACAATCTGGTTCAGAAGACGTTTGCGGACACCTTCGTAGAATTCGTGTGCATTTTGCTTGTTTTCTTTATATCTGTAACTAACAAGCTCCTGACGTTTGTCCTCTGGATCAGCTGAGCACGTTACAATGGATAGACGAGAAGAATACTTTCGTGGTCGCATCAGAAGCGTGAATACAGCGGGCCACTGGAAATAACGGTTCGGAGAACATTCAACTTCTTTACGCTTACATTAGGATCTGCTTCTAATCGAATCGCATATTTCTTCCTTCTACTGATTGGTGTTTGTAAACATAATAGTCTGAATCTTTGACTCGTCAGCTCCAACGAATTACGATCTTTGAACTTCTCGACATCTCCAATGATTTTCTTCATTAACATGTCATTGTGGTACACTAGCGCTTTCGTTTCACCTTCATCTCTGACAACTGGCATCAAAACCTGAAAATAGTTAAGCTTAAAAGCGGTGTTGGACATGAATACGAGCGAATGAACGTAAAAACGCAGTGTGAACAAACATCAGTTGACTGAACATTGTTGAATCGATAGCGCAAAGGAAAACTGTTGCGCAGCCAGCTCCGCGGAAACGAAAAGTTCTTTGACTATGCGCATATCAATCGTCAATGCTTCATTGAATAACGAAGGTGTTGAGAAGTCTTGAGAAGAGGTGCAACACTTGTTAATTGCGTGTCAGCGAATGTGGACGCGCGCAGGAATCAATAATGCTTTCCTCTAGAGGCCTCTGACACACAAACCACTCGTTGCTCACTATTGTCGAATTAAAAAAAGTGGGACCTGAAAATTTGAAAGGCGTAGCTTTTTTTGATTTACGAAAAAGTGCGGCAAAAACGTAATATTTCACATTTTCGCTTCGTTCGAGCTACTTTCGCAATTAAGTTTGGTTTTTCGATGAGAAACAGATTTTAAGGATGCTAGTGATCATTTTCTTCCAAGAAATCTAAATTTTGTTCAGAAAATCCCACTAAATTCACAGAAATAAGGTTCGTTTACTACCGTAGTGTTTCTGGGACAAGGCCTCGAAAATTGACCGGGAAGCCGCCCGCGAAATTTTCCAGGTCCCACTTTTTTTAATTCCAATAATTACCGCTCTTTTCAGCCTTTTTTCTTTTTCTGAAGCTTCTTTTTGGTTACAATAAAAACGAACTATTTATTTCGGTTATTACTAATAAATATGCCTCTTTCAGTTTAACCATGTCGTCTGAACAACATCTTCAGCAACAACAACAGAGACGGCTACCTGGGAACCCGTTTTTTCCTTCAAGAAACACAGGAAGCAGTCTAGATGCACCGGTACTAAACTGATAGCTTTTGTAGAAATAAAGCAAAAAATGATTTTTTAGGAAACCCCTCATCTCATCGACGCGCTCACTTCCCAAATCGACGAATTTACGATTCAGAGCATAATTGATACTCAAAGACAGAGGTAAATATCCAGAAATTTTTACGCACTAATCATAAAATTTGTTTTAGTCTGAAAAGATTCGAGAAGACAAACGAAATGTTGATGAATTGCGCTCAATTGGGGGACCGTCGAATCGAGAAAGCGAAAAAGGATTCGATAGGACACAAGGATACGATTCTGCAGATGAAAACGGATCTCGAGTTCATTTTCAAAAAGATTCGCATGTTCAAAACAATTTTGGCGTCCAAGTATCCGGAAGTTTACGCAGAAGGTAAGCTACATCCGGATGAATAATCGAAAAAATATTTTTTTACAGTATCTACGGAGCTGGCACCGAAAAGGGACGTCGATGATGGATGAATTAAAATCGAAAAATTGATTTATGTTATGAAGGGAAAACGGATCATTAAAACTCTTGTCAAAAAAAATTTGAAAAATGATCTCATTATTAATGTGAAGTCAAATAAAGTCAGTCTCGTTTAGCTTATTAGTAACTTCACAGTATGGGGAATGCTGACACAGAAAGAAAAGGGGAAACTCGTTAAAGTTACAATTAATTAAAAAGGGTGGTTAAATGAATAGATATGGTTGATATTAGAAAAAAAAGTTATTTATGATCTTCTACGACGTTTTGAGTCATGACGCTCATAGTCTGTATCCGAATCCGAATCCGATGAAGACGAGTGCCGACGCTTTCTTTTCTCCTTTTTGCTCTTCTTGCTTCTTTTCCTTCTCTTGTGATCATCATCAGAATCAGAATCACTTTCAGAGCTGGAATCACGGCGTCTCTTCTTGGCTTCTTTTCGAGCAAGCTTCTTTTTGGCCTTCTTTTCCTGCTTTCTCTCCTTACGTTCCTTCTTTCTCAACTTCTTCAACTTCTTTCGTTCTTTCTCTTTTTCCAGAGCGACAAGCGGCGTCTCATCGGCACTCGATTCAGATGACGTCGAACTGACTTCGTAGGCCTTTGTTGATTGATTCGGTTTAACTTGAATGTGATTTCGGCATTGGAAGTACAGATGTCCAGGATATCCACATCTTTTGCATGCTCCTGTGACAGTTGGAGCCGATATGGCAGCGCCAGAGATATCTGAAAAAAAGAATTCATGAAAAATAAATTCAATAGTTATTTTGGGGGGGGGGGACGGAAACTAACCGACAAACGCATTTGGGTCGTATCTAGATGGGAATGCAGATTGTGCTAACGCAGAAAGTGACTGTTTACCTAAAAATGCAAAAATGCTGGGAACGAGTTAATTTTTCTTTTACCTGAATCATCGTCCCTTGAAGTAGGAGAACTTCGATCTGTTGATGCAGTTGTACTCGCAGATCCAAATTTTCGCACAAAAGGCATCGGAGTCATGTTGGCGTTCGCCATTCTGAAATGAGAATAAAATTAGATCTAGGTCTTTGAGGTCATTAAATTAAGAACAAGGATTCGGAAAAATCGAAACTGCAGGATGGGCACTTCTATTATTTGAAGAAGATGCAGTTCCCATCCCTAAGACTTCTTATTTCCTGACTTCTTATCTTGTCTTTTTTCTTTTTGTTCTTCAGATTTTTTTTCATATTCTTGTATTTGAAGACGAGGGTTTCGGAACATCACAATAAATTCAGAATCACCATCAATTTGCCATCCCATCAATTACATCTGCCTTTTTCCAGACACCCATTGCATGACAAATGAGCCGATAGAAATGATTTTCGGGTGGCTCTTGTCTTCTGACTTTTCGCCCATCTGTTATATGTCCGCAAATCAATACAAAACCTCTACCCGCCCCACTTTCTCTTTCTTTCAAAGTGTCCTCTCGCGACAGAGGACACAGAGCTAGATGCTCTCAACAAACTCTTCTCAAGCAAACTGCCCGCTCCTCATGATACGTTCCCTCGCATCACTTTGAAATTCACTTTACTCTTTTCCCACGATTAGGAGGTATTGGCTCCAAAACAGCGGTCTTCTTTTGAGCAAACTTTCAACTATTTTCGCCGAGAATGACAGTAAGTTTGACTTTGGAAATTGTATTGTTGGAAAAAACCCTTTCGAAAGCGTTGTAATCAGCCGAAAATGGTGTATCTGATTTCAAAAAAATGCAGATCTGCTGGAGATTCTTTCTCCAATCAGTCAAACTAAAAAGTACTAAATTCAACTCTAATTTTTCAACACTAAGCTTTCATATCAATCCCTATAATTAAGATCGAAAAACCGTATGACTATGCTGCGCTGATGGTGCGAGTCTCTGCTGGATTCGTGATATTCATCTCATTGTCACTCATTCTACTGGTGGTTGGGAATCTCATCTACACAAGTTTCACTGACAGAATCGTTTTGAAATCAAAAGTGAGTTGGTTCTAAAACACCGTATTTCCATTAATAGAAGCCACCCAAATTTGAGCTCAGTTATCTCTATTCCATTGAAAGATATCAAACCCTTGTCCACTGATAAAACATTTATCATATTATTGCCAATATTTTATCAGTTGACAAAATTTCTATATATTGCACAGGAATCGAGATAATTGTGCTCAAAATTGGCGGCTGAGGGGTGGGCTTCTATTAGAGGGAATACTGTATTCGTATGGAAATTATTTTTTTTAAATTCGTTTTCAGAGAAGCCGTTAACCAAGAAACTATAAGCTCTTCAAAACGTCCTGAATTCAATCACAACGCCTTGCCGATCCTAATCATAACGTTCCCTGCTTTTCTTCGCTTTTTTTGCTGGCTATCTAACTTATTGAATTATATTGACTGAATAAAAAATCGCCTATTCTGATAACCACCGATTCACAGCGACGATAAAAAAGGTGAAGGTCTCTCTGCGTCTCTTCTCTTAATTCGGACTACTAAGCGGAGAAAACCTGAAGATGTGGCGGTAGCCACCGAGAACGGAATAAACTAGATGAGAAGGGGCGACACTTGCAAGACGCTACACAACGACGTGATATCCGTCGCTTCCTTCTTTCCTTCCACGTGTAGTGGTGCCTTTATACCGTTTTTCTCCTATTTTGCGACCTTATTAAAAGAGATCAAAAGTTACAGTAACTAGGCCAAAAAATGCTGAAATCAATCATCTTTTCATCGTTATTGGCCGTAGTATGCTGGGCCGCGAACGACAGATCATGGACCACCGAAGAGGGAATCAAAATTGAAATTATCAAAAAGATTGGAGACTCGAAATGCAAGATCAAATCCGAGCCAGGAGATCAGCTAGAGCAATTTTACAAGCTTTCCGACAAGGAAGGAAAAGTGATCGGAAGTAATTTTGGTCAGAAGCCATACACTTTTACGTTGGGTAAAGGAGAAGTTATTCACGGAATGGATATTGGAATGGAAGGTATGTGCGTTGGAGAACAGCGAAAAGTCATCATTCCTCCCGAGCAAGGATTCGATGAGGATGGAGAAGAGGTCGAAGGAGTGAGTTTTTTTTATTGAATATGCTGGAAAGCTGATTAATTATTAATTTCAGAAAGGAGACACCCTGTACTATTTCGTCGAGCTCAAATCAATCTTCCGCCCAAAACCAGGAGACAAATGGATCACTGAAGACGGCGTTCATATTCATGTGACACACGAAGTTGAGGATTGCACCGAGAAGGCTACTGCTGGAGATACCCTTCATCAACAGTACACTCTGTATCTCGAAGATGGAACTTTTGTCGACTCAAGCTGGAGCCGTAACCGTCCATTCATTTTCAAAATGGGAACTGGACAAGTGATCAAGGGAATGGACATTGCTATGGAAGGAATGTGTGAAGGAGAGAGAAGAAAAGTTGTCATTCCACCAGAGCTCGCTTATGGAGAGAAAGGAAGACCACCAGCAATTCCAGGAAACTCATTTCTTCATTTCGATCTCCAACTCCAAAAACTTGTCAGACCAGGAAAAGAAGAACTATAGAAAATATTCCAACTATTTCTGAAGCATCAATTATGAATTGAAAGACCCAAATTTAATAAATTTTAAAAACCAAATAAATTAGCTGTGAAAATACAAACACAAAAATAGAAAGGATGAGGAAATTTTCAAATAAAAAGCTAAAACCAGTTTATTGAAAGGAAGGGGATGTACACACAATAAAAAGGTAAAAAATGTCTATTCGAGTGTCTAGTTTTGGAGATCAGTAAAACATTGATTAGAAATTAGCATATTAACTAGATATAATCAAAGCATGAGCTTTTTCAATTACTATAAAACGATCGGGGCCCGTTATTAGGAGGTCCTGAATATCCGAAAGACGGCGGTGAAAACATTCTGGACTGATGCGGTGGTTGGGGTGGGGAGAAGTCTCGTGGGCGGAAAAAGTTGTTATCATGGGGATTATTGTAGAACGCCGATTGTGATGGATGTTGAGGAGGCCGATGAAGCATTGGTCTCGATGCAAAATTATCCTGGATTGGCACTTTTCCAAATGGCGTATCCTGCATTGGAACAGAGTCGAATCGATCGCGATGCCATGGCAAGGAAGAGAATGAGCTGAAACTGATGCATATAAAATTTTAATTTTTCATCAAAAATCCAAACTTGATTAAAACTAAATCAGGCTTTTTTCTATAAATCTTATTTTTTCAATAAGTTTTGGTTTCCAATAACAGCTCAAAACTTTAAACCCTACCTTTGTCTCTCTCCGCTCCTTGGTGGTCCGGGCATATCACTCCATGGTCTATCAAGTCCCAAATCCATTTGAAAACATCGTTGTTGATTTGACTGAATACCATACTGCTGTTGACGTGCGGGTGGTTGGTTATTCCATGGTGGAGAATCTTCGTTATTCCGTTGCCACGGCATAGGAGGTGCAAAAGCGAACGGATCCGGACGACCTGTGTTTTTATTGCCTCCATTCTTCTTCTTTTTCTGTGGTGATTGGATTTTCGTTGGATTCGGAGTTTGGGTAACATTGGGAGTCTGATTATTCTGTACAGCAGGAACCTTCGGAGTAGATTGTTGCACTGTAGAAGTCGGTTTAGAAGCTGCCGGTTTGATTTTCATCATCTCAGCTTTCTCCTCTTCTCTTGTCTTCTCATCCAGTTGATCCAGATTCAAACCAGGTATCGATGACGAATCGTTGTTCGTTGCCAATCCTAACGCTGGCGCGAACTCGGCTTGTGGAGGTTTCTCACTGAGCTTTGGAATCTTTTTAATGCTCGTTAAGCTGCCAACACTCGCAATTCCAGGATTGGTTTTGATCGGAACAGAAGTTTTGGTCGGAGGAGCAGAAGGAGCAGGCGTTGATTGAATCGGTTTCTTCGGAGATGGTGTGTGGACTGGGTTTTGTGAAGGAGCAACTGGCTTGTTCTTCTTAATCGGTGGCGAAGAAGAGTCATGTTGAATATTTTCTACAAAAAATACATTATTTAAAGTATTATAAGAAGAAGAAAAAAAAATAAAACTAACTGTTAGAATCTGCAACATCACTGGCCCGTTTCCTAGAGTTCATCATTCGATTCATCTCGTCTGTGTACGTTTTCGAAACGTAAGCTGGAGAAGAGTTTACTCCAGCAAATGACTCTGTTCGAACTCGCGCCATGGTTTCAGAAAGCGAATTAGAAGGTGCGGATGCATTTGCTTTGTCCAGTGACACCTTCTCCCATGGTGTCGGTTGCGATAATGGGGCAAACTTCGGGCGCTCAGGTTCTTTCGTTTTTTGTGCTTCGAGTGGAACTCCAAATGCAGAAACAGCAGTCGGTATCTCTGGAGCAGGTTCATCAATCTTATCTTTTGGTATCCACGACGCAAAACCAGTTGCTATAACCGGAGCTTTCTTCTCGACGATTTTTTGAATGAGAGGTTTTTCGGCGGGTTTCGGAGTTGTTTTTGGACTTGGTACCACTACGGGAGACCTTTGTGGGGGTGAATCAATTATTTCGCCATCTTCAGGAGGAGTAATTCTTTCTGCATACGATGGGGTACACGCCACACTTCTTGGGGTAGACGAGGCTTTCGGTGTAACAGCTTTCACTTCATTGATCTTTTGTAGAAGTTCTTTTTCCTTTTCTGTAAAATTGAAATTACGATTTTCAAATATCAGAAGAAAATAGGTATTACCTGCAAGTGATTGCGTCAACTTCTGATTTTCTTTCTTTTGCCTATCCATACTGGCTTTGAAAGTGTCTCTCTCGTATCTGGCATTATCGCATTCGACTCCCAAAGTTTGTGCGACCTTATCCATTTCTTTTCTATTTTTGACAGCTTCATCACGTTCTTCCTCCGCTTTTTTCTTCTTGATCATTGCCTCATCGCGTTCGTGTTCCATTTTCCTGACTTGTCTTGTGATTGTCTGACAGCCAGTACATCTCTCGTGTTCTCCCAGCCATAGCCTATCCTCTAAATGTGCCTGAGCTTCAGTTGCACTTGCCACTGCTGCACTTCGCTCTTTCTCATACTCGTCTCGAGTCCTCAAGTAAAACTCTGCTTTATCTTTCTCATAAATGAGGTCTTGCTCCAAATACTGAATTTTAGCTTCCAAAGCAGAATTCTCTAGCTTCTGATCTTCAAACTTTTGGAGCATCTGCGTTTTGAATTCCTCATACGTAGCTCTTTCTTTGATGAACATCGATATCAGCTCTGCTTGATTCGTTTTAAATTCATCTTTCCGCTCTAGAAGATCAGCCCGAACACATCGAAACTCGTCAGAAAATGATAATCGAGTAGATCTGCCGAAGTCTTTCAACTTCTTTGCAGCTTCACAATACTTTTCTTCCACTTCCTTATACCGACAAATTTGTTTCTCTTGTTCGTGTATTGTGTTCAGCATGAAAATGAATTGTTTCCGTAAGATCAATGGCTGGTCTTTCAATCGAGAGGAAATTTGTTCTCCAAAACCTTCTTTGATTGATTTATTGAAGGCGTCCTCCAGAAAAAGAGAGCTCAGAAGCAAATCATTTTCTGTCTGACAAGAGAATTCTCGTGACTGTGCTGAGTTTTCTGATGGAGATTGTGAAGAGGTCGATGGAATATTTGCAGAATTTTTCGAAACTTTTTGAGAATTTTTAAGAGGTCGTCCTCTTGCTTTCGGTTCCTCAACAGGAGAAACAGACTTTTGAGTTCGTGTTTTAGCCGGTCTTCCAACACTCCTAGTTTCGGTTACGGCAGGAATATCAACACTTGTTGATGGACCGTCAACAGCTTTCCTTTGAGATTTCCTTCGACCCCAATTGGGTTTCTTGGCTTTTCCACCAACAAACGCATGTTTCTTTGGTTTCTTTTTAGAAGCTGGTTTCTTTTGCAGTGTTCCCCCAAGACAGAGATCTTCTTCTACTGCTTCAGCAACATCTTCAGCTGGATATTCTTTTTCTGCTTCATTTTCCTCAAGATCATCTACATCCATTTTCTCGTCAATTCCCTCATCCGGATTTTTTTCCAACAGAACTTCTTCAGAACCGTTGGAAGTGCTAGGAATCGGTTGTGTGTCAGTCTCAATATTGTTTAAAGCAGACTGTGATGATGAGTTTCTTCCAGCTCCGAAGTGAAATGCTCTTTCAGACTTTGTTAATGTCCGGCCCTCTGTAATTATCGGAATGATTGAAACAAAACGGAAATGACGGTTCTCACCTTCTGTGACATATGAAAAACATCCGCGTACTTTTTTGCAGCACATTCCAAAATAGGAGTGGCATGAATGACAAAGGTGTCTGTATATGTCCACGGGTTTACTTCCAGTCTGCAATTATTAAATTCATGTGAAGACTGATACGAGCGGAAAAAAATGATCATCGTTCTCTCTTGACCACCCAAAACAGAAATAAAAATCAATGAAATTAATGTTAAAGGAAAAGATATTCAGATTTCGCGACTACCTTGACGTTTGCATATTTTCGCTCAATAGTCGAGTGTTAGAAATGAAGAAGATGAGCTAATCAATAATTGAAGCTCTTTGTGATAACTGGCCACTTATACTCGGTATCATAGATCATCTTCAAGACTTGCTAGCTCGGTTTCATGCTAGTTTTTGAAAAAATAAATTACCTCGAGTTTTTTGTAAAATGTAAGCGATCCAGCTTTGCCACAAGTTTCACATGGTATAGGCTCTATGGAGTCATTCGAATCTTCATCGACTGCGGATGTGGATTCCTCTATGATAACCTCTTGCAAAGTCTGAAAATAAATAAAATTTTTCACTGTGTTTTATTAAAATGTAATAAAGACCCACTTCGACTTGTTCAGTACTGAATTCAGTTTCCAGCGGTGCCAAAACGGGTCCCTCTTCAGCATCATCTGTATTGTCGTCCATTACCTGAAAGTTTTTTTTGTTCGAACGGAGATATTTTCAGTCAAAAGTACAAACGAATGTATAGAGGAGTAGTTTGATAAGATCATATGCCACTCGGTTCGGGTGAACAATTAATCGACAGCTGAAGTGGGCGGAGCAACTGAACTAGTCGAAACGCAATGCGGGCGCGCAGTTTTTGCAAAACCGCCGCATGCTGTTCTGAAATGAATGTATTGTCTTGTCGCATATTTCTTTTTTAATAAATACGCTTTTTTTGCAATTTTGACACATTTTTCCTCAAACCTGCAACCAATTTTGATTTTCAGATGAATAAATCTAGTGATAAAGCAAAGCCTCGTGGTGAATACGAGCCCGACTGGGCTGATGAACCAGAAGAGGAAAAGAAGACGAGAAAAGAAACTGCTAAAATATTTGGACCGCAAAAAGACCCGGAGTGGTGGGATATTAACACTTTTAGCAAGGTTAGTTTGTTCCTCACAAAAAAAAATAGAAAAAAAAACTCAATTTCAACCGAATGATGATTTCAGGAGGACAATCCAAATGGACTCCTTCAAGAATCTTCTTTCTCGTCATTGTTTCCTAAATATCGCGAGAAATACATCAAAGAAAGCTGGCCGCTCATTGAAAAAGCTCTTGGAGAACATCACTTGAAAGCCGACCTCGATTTGCTAGAAGGAACTATGTGTGTTCGAACAACACGGAAAACCTGGGACCCTTACATTATCATGAAAGCTAGAGAAGTTCTCAAGCTTTTATCCCGTAGTGTTCCATACGAACAGGCTATCCGCGTCCTTGAGGACGAAATCTACTGTGAAATTATCAAAATCTCCTCAATGGTTCGAAACAAAGAGCGATTCGTAAAGCGGAGAGCTCGCTTGATTGGAAACGATGGTGCTACATTGAAGGCGTTGGAGCTGCTGACTCAGTGCTACGTTTGTGTTCAAGGAGGAACTGTTTGTGCAGTTGGACCACTTTCCGGACTCAAACAGATCAAGTAAGTCTATTAGCCATATCACAACACCAAAAACAACCACCATTTTTCAGCCAAATCGTCACAGATTGCATGAAGAACATTCACCCTATCTACAACATCAAATCTATGATGATTAAGAGAGAACTCGCTAAAAATGACGAGCTTAAAGATACAAACTGGGATCCATATCTTCCAAAGTACAGAAAGAAGGTGCAATCAGCATCAACTACAAAGGAAGCGAAGAAAAAGAAGGCTTATAAGATGAAACCGAAGGGAGAGTACACTCCATTCCCACCAGCACCCGTGATGAGCAAGATCGATAAGCAGATTGAAAGTGGAGAATACTTCATCAGAGAACATGAAAGAAAACTAAACAAAAAACGGTAATGGGGTTATTCAGGGTGTCGGCAAAAAAGGGGAAAAAAAAACTCCGCGAAAACTCGGAGAGTGTTCCAATCTGGCTGAAACTTTGGGTAAAACTGGAGAAAACTATAGGAAACATTTTGCCAAAGTTTGGGGTCAAAAA